CATATAACAACATATTCGCCGAGAAACAATATTTAGTTGTTATATTAGATGCTAAATGATGTTTTAATCATTTAACAAGATAAACCATATGAACATTTTAAGGAGGAAAGTACTTTATTTGGCAGGAAACATTGCGACGTTTCAATTGAACGTCATAAAGTGAATATTGACCCGCTCTTTTTAAATATAGTAACATCGAGTGGATATCGCAAATTACCGAGAAATTAATGTATCATGTGATATTTGCTTTAATCAAATTTACTTCGCCTGATTTTTTTTTAGTGTATGGGTGTTATCTTTTAGAGGATCATTAGGAACCTTAATTATCATTTGCGCAAACAACTTAACAAAAGAAAAAAATAATCTCGGAATAAATAATCGGATATTAAGTGCCACACACTTATTTTTGGGGACCAGGTCAGACGGTTACCGTGACAATGCGATCTAAAATGCACACAGATAGTTCATTGCAGAGTAGGTAGATGCCCTTTCGTTTGTTTATCTCCTCATGTTCTGTTGTTGTGATCATTTCGTCTCGACGTTAAATTTGAGTTCGTATTCTTTCCCTTGTTAACGCCATAAGATGTTATTTAAGTAATCATGAAATTTCATGAAAACGAAAATGTAGAAGAAATGGTTCAGAAAATTCGGACGACCACTTAAGGAAACTGAATGGAGCTGTCTTTAAGTCAATACATCCCCCTGCCATGCAGACGTTGAATCCAATCCAAACGCATCGGTGGGATACGGTGGTATTATCTCTAAATGATAACTTCAACTTCCTTGACCACGAACATACCCATGTTGTCCGGAGTAAAGTAAATCATCGTTTTACTGCCACCTCCCACCCCTCCCAAACCCGGGGTTTAGCGATAAAATGAGGGACATATGTAAAGGAAGAAGACGAGAAAAAAAGGGACAGTGAAATATGTGAGGTCTCAAATAATTGCAAATTATCATTACAAATCTTTTTAACACACAAGTTAACAGTTACATGATAATAATGTAAGCATGCGTTTTGTTTGGTTGAATTTAATTTGGAATTGAAAATCTATGACTGGATTTGTATACATGTTTTTGAAAACGGTAAAATTGATTTAATGTATTCAAATTTCAGAGCAAACTAACTTCAACATTTAACGCAATATTTGAAGTGTTTAAACTTTGCAAAAGGATTTACTTTTCATCTTTTAAAAACTAGCACTCTTTTTGTTTACTTTGCCTTTTTGCTGATTCGGCAAGATTACTTTGCCAATCAGAACGCTCCTGCGTGAATGTGTTTTCTTGGATTTCCATGAATTCCTGTCTGTGAAGTGGGTACAACAACTCCAGAGAAGATACAGTGCAGGAACTGTGTCCTTGAAAAACGGATTAAGTATCTTATATGTATTTTATATTAAAAGGGAAACAACAGGTGCTTCAAAATTTCAATTACATTCGAACCCCCCCCCCCCCCCAACAAATTCCATTTCAGTACTTTGTATGTCGGCTTTCATAGTTATGGGAACGCACAACGTAACACGATGTGCGGTGTGCGTGCGGTGTGCGCAAGGAGTGTGCACGATGTACATGTATGCACGATGAGCGAACGACTGAAATCTGGACGCGTATTGCTTGCGCACATTTGTGCGGCCGATGGACGAACGTTGTGCGATGACAATAGTGGGTTGTGTAAATTGAAAAATGGCTTAACAATAAATACGGCCTCGTGTTTAAACATATAAACTTGCTTTTAGGTATATTTCTATATTCTAGCTACATATATAAGCTGATCTTTCTATCTATATTTTTTAAAATTACGTTTTCGATGTTTTTTAAACGACCAAAATCGACACATGTGAAATAACACATACATGTAATGACACGGTCACGTATACAGGTAAACAACTTTGTATCTATACCTTGACCGTAGCTTTCCCCACCTTGGGCACATACGTAACTCGCCAAGGTGTGAAAATCCAGATGAAGGGATGATATATACCAACGAATGCAAATAACAAATACTTAACGTCCAGTTATGTTTTCATAACGGTCATACGGTATCACATATCGGCTCTCTTTGTAAGGCACAGGCCAGGTAAAACGCCGGTCAATCATCAAAATGTTATTTACCTGTTCTGTTACCTGGGAGCTAAACCCATTCTTGACAGTCTAACGGTCACTGCAATGCTATGTAACACGCATTGTAAAATTAAACATAATCCTAATTAATTTGATGAGCAATTTATATGTACATTGTTCCTTATTCCATACGAAGGCTCAGGTTTTTAGTTCATTCCGTAATATTGATCAACCAATTCTACCAATTCGCACATTTGTGCGGAAAGAAGCGCACACCGGGGCGACCAATTGTTAAATCACACAGGTGTGCGCACCATGTGTGGACGATGTGCGGATGGTTTGTGCGATGTGCGCACGCTATTTTTGGTGCGTTGTACGGTCCCACAACTGTAGCATGAACAACAGCTCTGCTAGCCCACTAAAACAATGGCTAATTCCAGATGTACTCCCTAAGATTCAGATCTGGAGATGCCACAGGCCAGTCCATTCGGTCAACTGTTTCAATTCTACGTTAGTGATGCATCATTCTTGTACGAGGGGGACTTGCATTATCAACCATCACGTGAATAGCGGACGAATTGCACCAGCAACTGGATGAACAATAGGATGAAGGAGCTCATCTCTGTATTGCTGACAAGTCATTGTTCCTACCGTCAGGATATGACTCTCAACAACTACCAAACCAATTGTGTTCTGCAACATAACCATCACTTCTTCATTTCTCTCCGCACGCATCTTATCCAATCATTGATATTTGAAAGACCCCAATATAGTGATCCATAGAAAGAGCCAGACGAAGTTGTCAGTGAACTTCGTTACTGTAAAAGGCCAATATAGCTGTTCTCTGTTGTGGGGTCAAAATTGGTATACAGCTTTTCCAAGAGCATGAAGGTTCTATTGTTCTATTCCTCTTAGCTTGGAGAATGATACAGGGCTGGCGAACCTCTTGGCCTTCCACTTCTTGGCCTCTGACAGATAAAACAAAATATCTGGAAGCGTTGGCACAATCTCCGAACTACACTTTGGCTGACATTAAAATTTCGGGGCAAATTTCACTGAGCCACGCCAGTTTGAAGCATTTCCATGGCACCACCGGCCTGCTCTATACTCAAGTGCCACCTTTGGGGCAATTTGTCAAAATACTCTTAATTCACTTTCGATAATAATTATTTTTCAAATTAGTAAGATTCACATTAGCTACCAATATTTTCTGTTGGTCTTCAAATTTTTGTTTTGATCCGTAATTTTGGGTAAGAGTATAAAACCGGGTGCACTCAAAAAACAAAAGAAGCAAAGCGTTTACCAATCCCGGGGATTTTCTATATAAATTTTCGACATACTTAAAATGTGAATTGTATGATTGTTTGCTGAGTATAACATGGTCAATATCATTTTCCTTTTATGTCATTGGGTTGTTAAGATGGTCATTTGATAACACACCTGGTAACATCGCCTTCGGTAGAGGGTACCATCGAGTTTTGATATACCATTGTTACTGTTGTGAACTATTTGTCAACAGAATATTCCATTAAGTCACATATTGCCATACAGATTTGTAGCTGTTAAAAATTTAACGTTCGAAAATGAAATAAGAAAAGAAATAAGAAAACTTCGGTGGTCGGACCCAGGAGCTTTAAATTGCAGAATCCTACACTTTACAGATTTGCCATTCAGGAATTATGTTAGCACAGCATCAAAATAAATGTCTTATTTATGGGCTGCAAATACTAAGTCAAAACATTCTGGGTCTAACTCTTTTCTTAATAGTAACTGATGCAATGGTACTCTTTACCTTAACTGAGACCTCGAATTAACATTTAACTGCAAAATTAATATATGGCCATAGACCCAAATATAATTAATTAACATTAATAAAGGGCATTCAATTAAATAATAATTCCTGTTTTTTCCCCAGTAACTTTTCTCTCTTTTATCTCTAAATTAGTTTCTACAATTTTAACTACAAACCAAAAAAGCAATGGAAAAATGGTCTCAAGACTTTACAAATTTAGATGCTAACTAAAAATTTATTTACTCGATACTAAGGAGTTGCACTCATGATTTCATTTTACAAAATTTTCAGTATAAAATTTATCACAGAAAACTATGCACAAATACGCTTCTGTTTAAATTTGGTATAAAAGATGATAATAATGTACTTTCTGTAACTATGAAGATGAAGATATGTATCATCTTTTATGGCAATGTATTCCTGTGTGCACTATTTGGGGAACTTTTTCAGACTTACTATATGTAAAATGTAATATAGAAATTGAAATAAGTACAAATGACGCCATCTTAGGTTACTCCGGCGAAAATAATAACACAATGCTAAATTTCTGCTTTTTGATAATAAGACGTTACATATACATCTGCAAATGTAAGTCTAGCATACCGTCAATAGAAGGTGTCTTAATATTTTTAAAACACAATCGAGAAATTGAATATTTAGCTTACAAGTTATACAGATCAAAAAAGTTCACGAAGTAACTGAAAAATGGCGCCCATTGGAACAGTTATTTAACTAATTAGCAATTACCTGAAATAAGAAAAAAAAGTAATGGTAGAAAGAAACTGTATTGTTAAACAATTACTATTGAAATGATATAAATGATCATGTAATATGTTGTACTGGCTTTGTGTGAACCGAAAGAAAATAAAAAACATTCATTACAAAAAAACAAGAACTTTTATCTCAATACATGATGCTACATTGGAATATATTGTGAATAATAAGTCTAAAATAATCAATTTCATTTACATGAACAATCTGAATATATCATATATATAAATATTTCTTTATACATGTATATATTTTGAACCATGATATCAAATTATATCTTGCAAAGAATATGTAAAAGTCTACCAAGAAATGTCAATATAAACATTGTACGTGATAAAACTACATGTACTAAAACACAAGGGAAACTATTTTTAGAATGATTTCGGACAAAATGGCTTTGCATAATAATATTTTGAGAATTTCATTTGTAACATTAAATACTGTAACGTGGTTTGTAGTAATTGATAAATGTATGACTAATATAAAAAAAATGTCATGATTACAGTATTTAATGTACGTTAGAACCAGGTGTCCTCGGTAACCTGTCCATTTATACTGTTTTGATCATAGTCACCGTCTACCGATGATTCCGCATCCAACCGACAACTTATCGTCTGTGTTTCAATGTTTTTTGATTTCTGCTGCCTTGCTCTTTGTAAATCGTCGAAATTAGGTCTACCACGGTACTTCACCCATAGTTGTCTTGCATGATCTAACTCATGTGGAGTCGTCTGTGTACCAATATGACCGAAACGTTCACCATGATAAGTTCTAACGGGTGATGACCAGACCGCATATTCGCCTGAGTCTATACTCCTCGTACCCGTTTCGTTTGCAGAATCATCGAACGTGTCGTCAGGATTAATGATCTGAACCTCTATGTGGTTTCCCGTGATACTGATACCTCCACTATCATTATCGCCCTCACGTTCTACTCTCACTATGTCCGAGGTATCGTCATCATCCAGTAAGCTATCTTTTCTGTGATCGTCCATCTCGAACGCGTAGTTGTCTTCCGCGACACACACAGGACGCCGCGTCCTCTTCCTACGTCTGTGCTGTTCGCATGTGGCCTTTATGGTGCCGATGTCCAGGACAACCACTAGTGCTATGATGCTGCCCAGTATGATGGTGGCGACGACACCGGCTCCCGTTGCCGAGGGTCTGTTGTCGACCGCACTGGTCCGCCGCTCCTTCAGACGTTTTAGTCGTATTTCGTCACCCATTGCTACAAGCTCATTCTTTATCTCATTGAATGTCTTTTTGGTTGTTGTCGACGGCCTTAGGGTTGTTGTCGAAGGCTTTAGGGTTGTTGTCGACGGCTTTAGGGTTGTTGTCGGAGGTTTAGTTGTTGTAGTTGGTTCTGGAAGATAAGGAAATCAAGACTAAAATGACTGTGACCCATTGCATGCGCCAACAATGCACTTAGGATGAACATACATACACATATTTATATATTTTTAAGCATTTTATAATTACGTTTGTTCTTGTTAGTATACCCTTTGTTTAAAATTCTTAATATTTGTAAGCAATTACTCAGGTTTGGAATCTTCACCAGAATGAAAAATAAAACTATAAAAATCTTCCCTGCGCCACAGCTGTGTTTTCTATTGTTGTTACTATTACTTCTTAAATAATGATATATGATGCCATATTTAGAGCACGGTCATATTGTCGCGTGCTCGTTGCTGTTATGGTCAAGTGTGATGGTTGTTGTGATGGTTGTTGTGGTGGTCAGTTGATATATTGTTGTCGTATTACTGATATATGAATCCATCATTGCCTGGTTTCGCCCCCACAAATAATCAATCACGCTTATAGTAGTGTAGTTACAAAACATACGGCATGTAATAAAACCCACGATCACCACCACAAACACATACCATTACAGATGTTTTATTGTTCCTTCAAAAGTGCCGTCACTCACTTAATCATATGAAATAACAAATTTAGTGCTACGGACAAGCATATATATTAATTGATCAAATCATCAAGATATAGTGTGTTTAAGCAATATTAATTATCATTTAAGGTAACCTAATAAACCTTATATAAAAGGTAGTCTTAATCTGCTATTAATCTTAATGGATTTTTGTTTAAAAGAACATTTATGGCGTATACCAGCCCAGTTTTACCAGGGAGTATCCTGAAAGTACATGTTTGAAGTAGAAGCTACATATCTTTCATCGTGTATTCCACTGTGTTTTTTTTTGCCAGTCTACTATAACACGGTTATTATTGTTCCGCAGTGAGTTAAACGGAATGAACTCGTTGCAAACTTTTAAGTCGGTTGCTTTGATGAACTATACAAACAACCAATACGTATTATTCTACATTTGTGTAAAGTTTAACCCACTGCCTATGCTCTCTATTGTGTTCCTCTATGCCTAAAGTTCTCACGAGTCTAATGCGCATGTCACACGTGTATCAGCAATCAACAGAAAAATACTAAATCAAATCTGCGGGGTATTCTCATAAGAGGATGCATTGTTGACGTAAAATATAGCGCAATGACTACTGCAGCATCAACAAGCATACTAAGTAAGTTTAAAACCAATATGAAAACATAATAGTCACTTCACCAAACACTATGCTACATTATGCTTATACAGTCAGGTATATATTAACAATAATTCGACTATCTCACATAATCAATATTTTGGATGAAAATGACAACATTTGTTTATCGCGATTCGAACATAAAGAATAAACTACAATCGCTATACCAATTGTAAAGGCAATACATATCAGTTCCGGACAACCAAACTATTAAACAATAAAAAATGCATCTATCTAATCTATTACATGGAATGCATAAGATTGAATCTTTATTTGATAGCAAACTAGCCATCAGAAAACTGGTAATTTTAAACTCTATTACAAGAGGAAATGATATATTTTATAACTTATATAAAGCACTCTTTTTGGCCCGGGTGGGAAGGAGGAAATCGGAGTACCAAGCGGAAACCCACGTAGTCGGGCAGCTGACCCATTCCCTATTGACGTCCGATCGGAGAGTCGAACCGCGACCGCTTTGGTTGAAGGCGAGTGTGCTATCCACTGCACCCCCGACCGCACACTGTACTTAGTTATACGATCTACTATATTAGTTACTGGAACATTACACAAAAACAATCGATACTTTATTAGTTTTGACACTGCTGTGTCGGTTACTGAGGGAAGGAGACGACAAATATATTTTATAATAGTTATATATATCAGCAAACTCATATATCCTACTCAAGAAGCTAGGTAAACATCGGAACGAAACAACCAGACTCCGCACTTGTAATTACTGAGTCATTGAGACGACTATCATGTAGGTGGCCTTAACACACGTTAGTCTTGTGAGAAGTTGTGATAAACACTAAAACGTACATCATCTGATTCATTACAGACAAGTAACCCGTAAAACTGGACGAGGATTTTATGTTTTGGACCCGAACCAATTCGCCAGTGATATAGTTACAATCATCCAAGGTTCATCGGAATAACCTTCAGTTTAATCAATATGAATTGCGTATGTACAACGTAAAGGTCATCTACTGGAGCCGCATTATACAATATTCGCGAATTGACGTCAAAGTACAAGAGAATATATAATTTTTATTTAACAACAAGTGTTGGGAGGATGGCAAAGAGTAAGAAACGGCTTGGCTCAGATATTATGATCATCAGATAAATATGTACAAAGGTAACGGGGTGACAAACAAAATACATTTACATTTCTACTGAACTGGGACTCAATATCCCTACCAAAGACTATGAAGGATATTTCTCCATAAACTTACCAATTGTCAGGTAAATATACACCAGAAATGAGTGGGTAAGTAGTCCAAATTTACAGACTGTTTTAAGTTTCTTTTTCCGGTAGTTTCAGAATGAATAAATATGTATTTATATGTTATGTTGTTTAATCGTGGTAATCAATACAAAACGGCTATTGATCTTACCAGGACGACGCGATACAATGAGAGATGACGTCACATTGGGCGTCACCTTATGTAGCATAGACGTACACAAATTCCATATTTCAGAAATTATCAAAAATATGTAAATATGTGGATGGAATCCTGTTGTGTTGAGATTTATGGAGTATAAACATCAATGGGCATTGCGACAAACTTGGTATGAACTGTTGATGAGCTGATGAACTACCGTTAATCAAATTTGTCTCAAGACCCAATAAGGTTTACGCCCTTGAACATGATTCAACACATAAATGTTCTCTAGGAAAACATGTAAACATTAGCAATCCCTAACGAAACTCTTATTGTTAAATCAACAATCTAGGCATAAAGAACTTTCCAAAACCATTATATGCTTTAATATGTAACATTATGTTTTCCAGATTTTGAATTCCACAGGACTATCTAAACTTTCGTCTATGCCCTTCGTTTTACATTAATAAGAAGCGGTAGCTGTAATTGCTAGGATAATACATAACTCGCATTATATCGTTACAGTAAGTAGGGGCAGTCAAACGCACCCTTTCATGTAGGTCCAGGTACTTAGCCCACTGACAGGCTTTTAATTAGCGTTTACAGCCAGCTTCCCCTTCGTCGACCTCGAGCCCGATCATATGATTACAAGATACCTATCGTTAGAGTTACCTCAGTGGAAGAGTAACGACGTAATATCCCGCCAGAACAAGATTCGATAATAAGTTTTGGTAATAAACGTATCGTCAATTAGACGCACTTTTATTACAATAAAATACCACACAGCTATTAACCTGTAATTACACTAGTACCATACAATGTGTGTTACGGTATACGCCTAACGTTAAAGGGCATTGCGTCAGCAAGACTTATTTGAGTACGTTTATACCATCAATAACAACACAATCAAACACTTTTTGTAATTAACGATCAAACATAATACACATGGCCCGAACTACAGTGTTGGAAAACAAGTTCGCGCATACAGTATCTCATAGCGATAACATACATAGGAATTTGGTTTATGTTAACGAGGTCCTCCCGAAACATACTGTAATTTGTGTAGATTTCATGATCAGATTTTGTTGAACAAGACTTATATATATATATTGTTGTTGTGCGGTCATCACATTAATCGTTTGTAGAAAATTCAACACATATTTACCCGTGAGATAAGTTATACTTTTATGGTGGAACACATTACGCTTTTGTTATTTTTCGTAGTGAAAACCAAACAGGGAGCAGGATTTAACGTTAAAATAAGTGTGATTTGATGATGAAATGATCTGGCATAACGTTAATAATGCGTGCTTGCGATACTTGATATCCAATCGTCTTCGCAAAGTGTTTAATCCAATGTACCGATTACCTTCACAATTTAAAAAAAAATACGAAATCGTAAATCCTTTGTTAGCGAAGATGTAATAAGATGATATAAGTTATAATCAAGTGTTTATATATTGTTTTCTGGTGTTTCCCTATGGGCTCGGTGATATCATAGGCACAACGGAACCATTGAGGGGCGTCTTTCACCTTACTTGTTAAAACATTACATGTATTCATTAACGAACAAGGAAAACACTCTTTCGATTAAAATAAAATTATAACCTACCGCTTGCAGCCATCTGGTTAAAACTGTTCATAGGTTGTTGATTTTGTTTTATAAAATTTATCGAACTATATTATCATACATGCATAAGCAATATCAATACATTTCACGAAATGGATGAACAATATGGTGATAAATGGTGATATATATACTTCGTTAAGTCTGATACTAGGTGCATACTAACTGTATAGTTTTCAGTATTATTCTCAACTTAAATCAAATGATATCGATTCATGCGCCTTAGAAATATGAAAAATTATCAAAATATTTGATTTTAATATATTATTAGTGTTTGAACAGGGTAAAGCAAATACACAGTATTTAAACACAAGAATTACAAAATAACATGTTCTGGATATCCATGTTTCAATTAATAAAAATCCTATCGGTGATAGTGGAGGAGGCCAGTGCTACTGTAGTAGTACGGTTTGATATGATTATGAACTCCACACTGGCCTCCTGTGAATTATTCGGAACGGAAACATATGTCTGACCCATATACTGGGGTGTTAACTAGCGTGGAAGTGTGTCGAGTATCACTGACCTAGATACATGTGAGTTATAATCTACACTGAAGTGATGCGTGAATGATAAGATAATTAATCACATCATCGAATTATTTCTGTGACGCAAGCAACGTAGGTGGTATTGGTTTACATTAAGAATTGTGGCTAGGTTTAATAGGTTTATACCAAGCGTGTAAGGCTACATGCCATGACGTTTGGAGATTCAAAACAATTACTGTAATTCTATCCTTATGAAACGAATCTTGTAACCATATACCATACTTACCAACCTGAAGAAAATATTAAGAAAAAAAGTGGTTCTACCATATCAAACATTAAAGACTGTTCCTAGGTATTTTTATCATGTAAGGTTTTAGAGATTAATAAATCTAGATAATTTGTGTTTTATATAATTATATATTAATTCCAGTACCAACATATCTTTTCTCCCTTATCATGGGTTTACGAGACGTGTGGCTAAACAATCTCAAATGAATTCGAAAGTCAACTAGTTAAGTTGACATTCTGACAGGTAGTACTAGTGTGTTCTTGTCATATGTCATTTATCGTTGTTCCATTTAGTGTAACTGGATCATATCAAACAACCATATCCATCGTATACGGAATATTTAAAAAGGAGGTAAAGTAGCAATATTTAGTCCGAACACAATACAAATAAATGGTTGTGCAAATGTCTCTCCCGAAAATATTTCTCTATTTCACCAGTTTTTCGACACGATTAAAATATGATACTCTCGATGATGAAAACGGTAATACATACACTTACAGCTTACTTTAAGGGGCCAGGCAATTTATTTAGTTTGACTGATAAACAACGAATTCAACAATCTATCATTGGAGTTGTGAGTGGGCATATTATTGATTCATATTCCTACAGAAAAGGTTTCAAGAAGACGACAAAAGTATGTTAAATCATTATCTACAATTAACTTGAATGACTAGAAATGCAAGCCACAGGCACACTTATACTCCTCCCTCGTTCATTTGAGTTATTAATATATCGGCCAATCAGAGGCAAGATCGTGTAAAATATCAACAAAGTCGGCCCCATAACCGCGATTGTCTCAGCCAATCAGAGGATATTACAGCCACCATGAATCCCAAAAATCAAATTTGACTATTTGATGTAAATGGTATCTAAATTACTCAATCCTATAAACTTTTGTCAAACTCTACACATAATTTTGAAAAATTTGACAAGGACTGAAATGACCAAGTAGAAAAAAATTGAAGTAACTTTCAGAACAGACAGACATAGGTTAAATTCTAGAATAAAACTATCGTGGTTTTATGTCAAAAGAAAAAAGTTACACGCAATATTGTGATTTATTGAGAATTAAAACCTCATTAACCCATATTTAAGGTCACTTTGTTGGCACTCTATTCACCACTGTTGAGCTACAAAATGTACCTTTAAAATTAATTACTGATATATGTACATGAAAGGTATTTCTATATGTCGTGCATTTATGAATGATTGTTGGTACAATGTTTCCTTTCAATTTGTATAGTAAAGCGAGATTGGGTCATTAAGGCCATTCACGCAATAATCATCAGTACCTTAACAAAAAAAGGTCATGTGATGCACTCTTGTATTTTTCCACTTTGCCTATTTTCACGAACACATACCTTCCTTATAAAAAAATATGTGCTTTACAGAAGTTACAGATTTTTTAAGAGGTAACAAATGAAACCATGTATTGGCAAAGAAAATGCCGAGATAAATTTTACCGGTTGTTGTGGTAAGTTCCTCCGTCGTCGTGGTAGGGATAGTTGTCGTGGTAGTAGACGTGGTTGTCGTAGTGGTAGGGATCTCCGGTAGAGGGCCTAAAAGTGTCAAATACGGTATTTATTAACATATTAATTAGATAGTTGTCATTTTTTTAATTATAAATACTGAAGTGCTGTTCGAATGCAAGAAAAACATATTCATGCAACAACAATATTGAAAACATGTTCTACAATGTACAATGTAGTTTGTGCAAAATGATAAGATAAGCCTGTTACATGAGTATAAAGTCAAATGAAGTGTTGTATCTATCATAGAACCTAACGAACGCTTACGCAGTTTTCAAAAAATATTACTATTATAAAAGTGTTAAGGAGTGGGACGACTAGTTCGCCCGTTGTCAGTATAATGTGACCGGGTGGGGCGTCCTGCTGGGTGTATTCGGCAGTATGTTTCAGTGAGGTAGCACTATAAAGTCGGCATCAGTTCCGCGCTATCACAAGGAGACAAACACGAACATATCGCAGCCTCCCAAAATACACACACATACACTACACGCATGCATCTTGCATACAGGGGAGGCCGTCCTTAAATGACCTTAGCTGTTAATAGGACGTTAAACAAAATCAAACAAACAAACAAAAACTAGTAAGGTACCTTGGCTAAAACCTTATCGACGCGAGAGTGGCATAGCTGACATACGTTCAAACCTAAGGTTAAAAGAGTTGTCTTTCTTGCATGAACATGTTTTGCGGGACAACTCTGTTGTTGAAAACTTTAAACATTTTTCATATTTTCTCCTCACATTGATGAAAACAAATTGCTGGGTTGGATGAGATGACATGGGTCTTACGCATATTTGATGATGATTAATTCTGAATATCAGTTTGGTTTTATTATCGTTACAGAAATATATTCTTCTTATTTACATTGCGGTTTATATAGGCCTACTAAAGGGTACATTTTAAACAACTAATGTATATATATGAATTTGATGTGTATTGGCATGTATTTCGTAAACTTATTTGCTTTCCTTATATATACAATCATCAGTCCTTTAATACATGTTCAGTCGATATTTGTCTCATTGGAAAGTGGTTCATAGATTATTATGTTAACAGTCTAAAAATAGAATGAAAAATAAAAACAGTCAATCGCATTATGAACAAAAGTTAAAAACGTATTTACAGAACGCTCGCATATAATCCTATTATTTATGGCACAGTTTATTGTCGGTACTGACGAGTTATCCTTCCTGTATTGTTAGTGAGCTTAAACTGAATCAATATGGTCGTATAAAACACAAACTTATAGAATGTCCGTTCATTTTGAAAATAATGTTGAATAACCAAGGAAAACACGATCTTGAGTCTCCATTTCGCGTTTCTTAATGGAAAACACCTACTGCAAGCGGATTTGTTAACGTGTATAACATAGGTTGGTATTCTCAACCAAATAATTACTTAGACACACTTTGTATGGTAGAAATCTCATCCAGAAACATAACTACTAAATAACACTGTTTTATGGTCCCTATTTCAGCCAAATTATCACCATTAAATAACACTGTTTTATGGTCCCTATTTCAGCCAAATTATCACCATTAAATAACACTGTTTTATGGTCCATATTTCAGCCAAATTAACACCATTAAATAACACTGTTTTATGGTCCATATTTCAGCCAAATTAACACCATTAAATTACACCATTTATGGCGTATTATACAATCTTAATACTGTCCTCCGGAGTATGGTATGTTTATAGTAGTGATCGCATCCAATGCATAAAATCTAAAGACATAATATCGATGTTGTATTCTATCATCGAACTATTAACGTCTTAAGTTTCACTGTTACGAGAGTAAATAAATCAAAGTGCAAACCACCAAAGTTTTATTTATGATAATAATTCCGTCCAACCAGACCAAATAAAAACGTATTTTTTTTCCGATTATATCGTACAATTACATACCTGCCAAGTAACACTGTTAATAGTGTATTATATAGCAATCGAAACTGGATTTTTCCGTTGTTCATGCAAGGATGAACGGGGAAAAAACTATTAACACAACCCATGATCTGCCGAAGTGAAGCGAAGGTCGTTCTTGTGAAGTGTGTAAGTAATTTCCCCACGTTCATCCTTGTATGAACACTTAAAAAATCCAGATTCAATGCCTCTAATTCCAAATCACTATCAATGGGAAGGAAAGTCAAAAACATCATTTAAATTACGAACTTTTTTCATTCATTCATGAATTTAGTGTAGTAATATGAAGTAACATCAAAACGTCATTTCGGAGATGTCGAAACTAATTCACGTGAAAATAAATTCCACGGCCGCTTCATCCGGTTTGAGCGACCTTATTGAGAAATATATTGAAGAAAGGAAAGCGGTGTTTATTATGACTTGAAGTGCATTTGCTAGACTCGTCACGTTTTTTGTTTCATGGATCATTCATGCATAAAAGTATGAAAGAAATTTAATTTATATGTCATGAGAAGAACATCATTTGTCGTAATTCCAACCCTGCGTTCCTCGGGGTTCGGTTGTTTGTAGCCTTGGCCTTGTTATGTGCGGCGTGTTAGGCCTAGTGTAATTACATGCCGCGTTCGTCCTGTTCGTGGAAATTCATGGATAATACGTTATGTGTGTGTAACTAAATTCAGCTCAGTTGATACTTTTTAATTTTTGAAACAAACAGATTAATTTCTTATATCGTCACTACTTCTTGCACGTATCACTGTGCGGACCCATATGTGAAATCGAAATATTGTCAGTTTGAGTTTTGGCAGATTGATATCGTCGGTTCGTCAGATGACAGAACGTGTCACTGTTGTGAATTTTTGGTCAACTGTAGTTTACAATTTATTTATTTTCAAAAGTTTTAATACTTAAGATTAACAACAATAATTACAAATCTTGCATTTTTGTCATTGCGCGTTTAGGTTAGACAATGGGAGACAACTCGAACGAAAATTAAATTGCTGAAAAATAGGGATTTGAAAATTTTAAAAGTAGTCCCATGGAAAAAAACAGTCGTTCATACTAATATTAACAGCTGTTTTTTGGGTCACATATACTAATTTCTACCAATCACAGAACCTGTAACAAAGCGCAAGATCAATTTTTGAATTATATACAAATACAAACCGCGAATATTACACTGTTTATGGTACAGTGTATACATACCTCCAAAGTTACACTGTTTATGGTAGTAATCCCATCCAAATAAATCTGTTTTGTAATATGACGCTAGTGTCCATTTATTTCCTTCGCTGAGCTGACAGATACCTCCGGAATACCGGAAATATTCATATGATCTGCACTGGAACTCTGTAGTGTTATCACACAGTTGCTGACAGTCGGAGAGACTGATGCCATTATACATCCTGTTGTTGTTTGCAAGCAAGGCTGCCTCAGGGGTTTTCGAGTAAATACATTTTTCTGAAATAGCGAAAACGAATATTTTATAGTATTTGTATTAATATCTATGTTTTCATTATAAACGTCTCATTTGGTCTAGTTTTTGAGTTTTAATATTGCCTGTCTTTAAGTTATTATTTCTTTATTGCTTCAATTATATTGCATTTTAAATGATCTTGTTAATCTGAATGACTGTTTATTATCAAATCAATTTCTTTATAATTATTTCACTGAACAATACCTTAATGTTTTGTTAATTCTTCCGATTTTGACATAAATTCATTAAAATTGAAGAATCAAATATTCTACCGATACAACTTGAATTCGATCCAGACATAACAAAGGATTATTCTACCTGCAGGAAACTGACAAATGAACCATAGTTTTGTCTGACACACAGTGGGATACCAGTATGCGTTGTCATCGAGGATAACCATTGCACATTTCTCCGAGCGATCTGTCGGCTTTGGTTGGTACTTCCAATTCTTCCATGTGAGCGAGGTGTTTCCTACCCACCGCCAATACCTATCCGGGGTACGTGCCAGACCTATCCACATTGTCTTCCTGCAATAAACAATGTGATCGTCATTATTAACGTACAAATGTGTCCTGGGAAATATAAGTCTACTTGTTTCGAATATTCTTTCAGTTTAAACGTAATCATATAATACATTTTCTTATTGTAAATTCTCATAGGAATATAATTGTAAATACTTGATGTGTCCACATTACACGTATGGATGCATGCAAGACTGCATTTGATAAGAAAGAAGGAAAGAAGCTAACGAGGTACAAAAAGATGAGGGCTGCATATCACTACAAGACAATCATATATGATATCCTAGTCTCAGTGATCTCATAATATATATTATTGGTCCTGGGACGAACTTAAAGCGGTGTTAAACGATTCATGTTAAATAGACTAACCTAAACAGGATCGACCATAGCAATATTCAACCCTGATATTTCAATTAACCCCATTTGTAACACACACAGCAAGTCAAACATTAGTCACTAGATACTAGAGCTTGAGAAAGACTACATGTAAGTCAAATGTTAAAAGATAGTTCGTCATTTAATGTTCTTTTATAGACCATGTTGAAAATTTAATATCTCTGAATGAACTAATTTAATATACAAATCATAATATACATGAAGGTCTTCCTTTCAAATTGTCTGCATTGGATTACTGCAATAACTCACACACAAAATCTAATTTTATGGCAGATAAATTCCTGGTTATAATGTGTAAAGTTGAAAACCAATTCACATGCATAGGCAGTGTTGATCTAGTTAATTGCATGTGCAAATACAACGAACAACATTAAGTAGTTTCGTTGGGTCAAAATTGAGTATAAATTGAAATATCTTAAAATGAGCATTATGTCGCTCATGTGTCAATTATATTTACATAAGACGGAACAGTATAACCGGTTATATAACGTATTTCAATACTGTCCCGCTGTGTTCAGTAATATGTGCATGGCGTATTAACCTCGGTGTGAACTGCCATAGTGCCATCCTTACGTTTTGTATTGATCAGGTCCATCAGACAACTTGGCATTACAATTTACACACTTCCAATAATCTAAACCATATCCACAGGTGTTAATGGTCAAGCATTACAGACGTATTTACGATCAATTCATAAAAGCTGCATGCTATTTGACTTGAGGGCTTTGCCTTTCCAACGCTAACGGAGATGACGAGCAACAGTAGATTATATAATAAACAAATTCATCGGAATCGACTTTACGACTTTAAATCTCCGTTGTTGAATAACCTGCAGAGTCAAATCTAACCTTAATACGAATGTTCCCTTTTGTATTCCACCTCACCTAGCAACTGAACAATAGGCTTCACTGACAGAAACTCATAAAACATATAAGATATTGCTTTGATTACCATGCAGGTATCTTTATACACATCATTGAATGCACATATATCAATACAATCTCGGATAATTGTTCAATGTTTAATTTAATGATATACTTTACATACATGGTTTACATTTAAAAATATATTTTTTCAGTATGTTTCTATTTTATTTTGCTGTTCTGTTTACAATCGTGTGACTTTAGTGATTTATTTATAATTAAGATATTTGCATTTTATGTAACTATTGTTTGCTTTCGTTTAGTTATTGATATAACATATAATACCTAGCATTTCGTTTTACATGTATTTAGGTGGTTATCATGCTGTTATTTATAATTTAATTTATTTTAGGTTTATGCTTTACTTGTACCTCTTCGTTGTGTTTCACATGTAGCTACATTTTGGATTTGTATGTAGAGAAAGATATATATATATAAACTATTTATCGCTGTATATTATATATATACTTTGAGTTTATTTTGAAAATAGTATCATATGTACATAACCTTTGAGTTTATTGTGATACGTGTATTAAACGTACCTATCTTTTTGTTATACTTTGAAACTTGTATTATTTGTACCTACCCTTAAGGTTTATTTAGATATGTGTATGACATGTACCTATCCTGTGGTTTTATTTATAGAGTTGTATTAGATGTGCTTATCTCTGGTTTCATCTAGATATTCTTATGATATGTAACTATGTTTGGTTTCTTTCATATCTGTGTATTACATGTACCTATCTTTGGAACATGTAGCGGCTATATTAGTAAGAATGGTGACAAAGTGCTGGTGTAAAGCCACTGGTAAAAAAGTATCACTTACTCAGGTATTACGTCTTATCAACAGGTAAGATAATGTGAAGAAGATTACATTGCACAGTTGGTCACTTATAAATCTCAGTATAAAGCAACACTTTGAATGTCCCACACGTGGTGCAAGTAATAGTTACCCCACGAGAACAGGCAAGCTAGTCTTCGATATCTATAGATATTGAACTTTTTCTAAAGCTAAAATCAATCATGATCAAAAGTACCGGTTATTACAATATGGTAGAGTAATGTGTAAAAAATAAATGATTTATTTGTTTTAGGTATTTGAGGCAGAGATGTAGTTAACGGCATGTATACGAATATGACTTTCCCCCCTGGAAACATCAGGGATTGAGATGGTGTGATGTTTAGAGATTAACAACGATGACCTGTCTGGTAACGGAGGATTAGTGTAGTTCTTGGTCAGTGTGTTATAAGGTCTGTAACGGAGCTTGTGTTTTATGTAGCAAACGAAATGTACTTTATTTGTAATTGTTTGTTCCTTGGCTTCTCTGTCCCTGTTGTTGTGTTTTGGTGTCGAGTTTGAGTATGGACAATTGTCTTTTGTGTCAATATCATGTTACCTATTTTCTATTTTCTTTTAGTACAATTCCACTGAAATGTGATGGATACAGAAGCGTGACACCTAACTCGGACACATAATTTAGTGGACTTACGTCACGTGATGACCTATGTATCCGGTTTCTGGCAATGTGGCCTGGTCGTACACTGTGGCCAGGAATCCTCCCTCATTTTTACACACATCCTGGGCAGCGTACCAGCTTAATGACGTGTTGTAGATGACGTAATGGTGAGGTTCTAGTACTCCGGATAAACCTAGAAGATACAATAGGCATTAAATGGTATTTTAGTAATTTCTATAATAAAGAGACATAAATATCTTATTCAAAGTACTAGAAATACGACAATCATGATAGCGTTATAAGATATGTCAACATTGTCAATACTACCAAGACAAACAGTTAGTAAATGGATGCATAAAGTCAGACAAAATTAACATCATCGATTGTACCATTTGGCTATCTCATCCATTTACTATTGATTGTACTATTTGGCTATCTCATCCATTTAATATTGATTGTACCATTTGGCTATCTCATCAATTTAATATTGATTGTACCATTTGGCTATCTCATCCATTTAACATTGATTGTACCATTTGACTATCTCTCCATTTAACATTGATTGTACCATTTGGCTATCTCATCCAGTTAACATTGATTGTACCATTTGGCTATTTCATCTATTTAACATTGATTGTACCATTTGACTACCATTTGGCTATCTCATCCATTTAATATTGATTGTACCATTTGGCTATCTCATCCATTTCACATTGATTGTACCATTTGGCTATCTCATTCATTTAACATTGATTGTACCATTTGGATATCTCATCCATTTAACATTGATTGTACCATTTGACGATCTCATCCATTAAGAACCCATCAGTGGTCTTTACGATTACAAGAAAGAATTAAAATGCATGTCTTAAAGTATTCCAAACACTACGCTGGAATACAACAAAGGATAAAGTTCCCGTTTAACGTTCCAAATTTACAATTTTAAGAAACAGCAAATATTGTCTTTATAATATGTTAACCGTACCAGAGGAAATTCACCTTCAAGGTTACGGCTAACATCGGGGTCTGATAGTCGACAAGTGGAGTTCAAACCACAACGAAACGTTAAATAATAATAAGAAACTCGACGTAAGAACCACGTAGTTTATAATTTTAGATACTTAAGTCCCAACAGGTGTTACCAACGACATCATTGTTATATAATATTTTCATCAAATTATACTACAGCAAAATTTCATCTTATCCTGATTGAAAGAACAAAATTTTGTTGTGAACTATTAAGAATTGAAAAATATTCGTTACCGTCATCAACATCAGTGGTGGTAGAATTTTCCTGTTGAGACGGGTTCACACTAGTTGAGTTACTGTCATCACTGGGTGTCGTAGTGTTTGCTGGCCAAATCGTTGCTGGGAATAGAAAAAGAACTATAAAACACATTGAAATTATGCTGCAAGACTGCAGCATGACTGTGATTACTGTTACTCCGTACACCGACTGTTAGAAATTGGGTGTTTATTGCTATATCTTACTTAATGCTGTATAAATCAATGAATTTGTCAAGTTAACACATATTAACTACGTAATGCAATTATTGATTACCAGAATCTGTCTAGGACTCTATTTCAGGTATGTTATCATCTATTTCAGTAATATGTCTGTACCCAATGTAGTGGAATAATAGACTATTTCATGCATTTCTGGGACGGATAGGGAAATTCTATCTAATACTGGCTAGGAATTGTAATACAATATGAAATATTGCTTCACATCAATGTAATGTTCACCTGTATGAAGTGGTACAAATCCTGAAATGCATGCAATACGATGATCCCTGTATCATTATATGCTGTCAACGGACTGTTTGGTGCTAAATAATTCTACTTTATATTTAAAATTAATTATCTGGATGAAGAACGAAATGATGTTTGTGATTGAGGGACATAAACAGACGTTATATGTACTGAAAACATAACGTTACCCTAGGTGTTAATCAATTCTATTTTACATATAACTGTAGCTATTAAGTACTTATTAACTGCCTTACCTTGAACACAAGTGCGATGATAATAACTCCATGTTGGATCATACACACTGTAACTGTCCTCCTTAATCCATCTGTTGACGTCATTGAGTTGACACGTGCCCAGATACTGGCTATACTCGAACGACAGACACGTTATTTCAGTAGCCTCCTCACACACACTCAAACAGTAACCTATGCTTTCGGTTCGCTTTAATATGCTATTTCCAGATAGACTTGAGTTTGGATACATTCGGAAATTACATCTTCCTGTATAGATGTAAATCAAATACGAATGTAAATATAACGTAAATACGTACAAATTTCAGTCTATTGTATCAGTAGTGCGATCACGATTTATTCGAATAACCATTTAATCAACACAGAAGCTGACTCCGTCTAAATATTGCGAGTTTCACAATCACGATTAAGAATATATTCATGGCTCTAACCTGTAACAATCATATTATTGAATTATAAAATCAAAAAAGAAATAACGGTTTCTACGATTAATGTCAATTTTGTATTCTATAAATTGCAATTGATTTATATTTATTATGAAGTCTGAAATGAAAGGCTTTAACAAGGACGTGTGTTTTTTTCATTTTGCAGTGATCATGAAATCGCATTAACATTTTTTCTAATACCTATGGCAAAATTCAGTAATTGTGACAAGGCGCTTTCTAGATGCTTGATTTCGAGACCGATATATACATATAAATAAATCTTCAATTTCCGTATTTCTTGATAAAAATGTTCATATAGTATATTATGAACACATAAGAAACAAATGAGCAGACGTAATTTGGAAAATAGAAATGTAAGGTAAAATCATAGGAGTATGAAACTCTCTCAAAAATTTAATATAACAGTAATACAAAAAAAACCCAAAAACCCCAACAAAACACCTGTTATATGATTATGTTTTTAAAGCATATTTAAGCTTTTTTTTATATTACTGTTCTTTTTAACTTTTTAACAGAATTTCATTCTCCAATGGGTAATTTGTGTGTTGGAATCTGATCAGAAACTTTCTCAATAAACGCTCGGATATAAGTGACACGTTATGCTATTTGTATGTCTCTGTTATAAAAGTAAATTCTATTTTTTTTATATTGCAATACTGTATTATTAATGTAAATTGACATGCATATGCTTTATCTTACAACGAAAAATTATACATTACCGAATACATATTTCATATTGATGAACACGAGCGTTATGAGTGATGCTTTATATTAAGCTAGGGCACTTAAAATCAGAATGGCGATGCTTTGACTAATAATTTAATCATTCTAGCTATTGAACTGTTCGTTATCAATTCAAAAGCGATGATGCACGGCGGTAAAACAAAAATTCATCGATCAAATAACATCAATTTTCATTGATAAAATAACACAAATGTCCTAGAATTAACAAGTCGAAAACCTTAAGGTCTCCATTTTCTTGCCATACTTTTGTTGATATAAATAACAAATACATTTGTATTAACAACATACTCCCTTCCTCCAATATTATAACTTTAAATGCAAATACCACAATAAGTGAAACAGAACGACCAGGATCAGGAATAATTCAGAGTCAAATTGTAGTTGAGTTCTCTTAAAGCATTGATATTATGGTTTAAGTTGATTTCATAGTAACATGTTTATTTAGTTATATTTGTCATCGGCGTGGTAGGAGTACAGCATCTTCAAAACTACGTGAACTAATGATGATGACAACTATGATTTATAAACTTATATGTATACCTTGCTGAAATTCACAGAAAAATGACTTTGTTTCATCACAAACTGTCTTTTCCCAGTGGTAATCGTTAGCCAGATTGACGGACACACAGTTGCCTTCCTTTAACTCTGAGTAGGGCTCCCAGTTAGACCAATCATACACAGAGTTATCCGTCCATTTCCAAACATGGTCCTCAAAGAACAGTCCTATCCAGGTTTCCCGATTTCTGACAAATTCAGACATGTACATTGTATATACTTTTATTGTTAATATTTGTAGGTAATTAACAGTAATGTATTAATCAATATTGATACAGATGTTAGTAAGCGTGTACCATTTAATACCATCTGCCATTATATGTTATCCGGATGTATTTTTACAGCCTCTAAGTGTATGTTAAAATGGTTTGTTTGCGTAGATCACAAAATGTGAAGTTACATACTCAAATATGGCGTCACACTTGTTTTGAAAGCATTGTACTTGATAACAATATGAAGCTTCAGATGAATCGAAGTTAAGTAACACATTAACTGTTTATAAAGAGTACCAGCGGTGAAATGTTACATTCAGGAGGAAGCGTTCTATAGATTGTATAGTATGGTAATACAAATGGTGGCCTTGTTTGGTGTTTATACACAAAGTTAGCGTAAACATCATCAATAGTATAATACATCGCATTCCACGTTGAATCTGTGCTATATTTACTCTAGCAGAACCGTTATACTGTTAAAATTGGCGCGTAGTGTATTCTATTTCCTACCGAACGATATCACCAACCTCACTTGATTTCAAGAATCGTCATGTTCATACAAATATAAATTAACGCTATATTTAGAAGAACATAAACTGACAAACACGCAATAGCCAGTAATTCAATGAAAATATTCTTATCTTTGACAATGGGTTTTTAAAACCAGAGTTAAAAATCAACTTGATTTATTGCTTAGGGCCAGAGGACAATATAGTCCCTGTTCACATAGGAAGCAATATTTATGGTAAGCTGCTTTGTTTCCTATACATCCATGCGTGAGTGAAGACTACCTCTTTATCAAACGTATGTAAAATACTTTTTATAAATATTTGGTAAGAATACATGTATTGACAAATTGAAATATTATAACTTTATCGGAACCTCCATAGGAATCAATTGTGTGTTCTCGCTTTTGCCCTAAACTAGAATTACATTTATGCCACACATACTCCTATATTTTAAGCCATACAGATGCAATTTTTGGAACAAATATACCCTGATCAAACAGTTAAAAATAGTAACTATGAACCTTGAATATCTAATAATACAAAATCATTGAACTTAAAATATCTGTTTATAAAAAATTGACCTAAATTGTAATCTTATACATGGTTTTCCTGTTGTAAAAATTCAATATGCCATAACATTTGATGTGTTCTTCATAATGCATAAAAAAATACTTCGTGTAAAACTTATGAGATATATTGATAACATATTGGACTTGTCAACATCAACCTGATAGTGTATCCATATTGAGCTATATATCAAACGGACATTCGCATATCCTTACCCCAATTATTTCACGCGATTGTATGAACTTTTACCACCCTTACCGGTGATTTATTTTTACAATTCCTGTCTGTTTACCATATTGTCAGGTCATTTTGTTGTATTTCAAATAGTTGTCATCACCTATATCACGTGAAAAAAGGTGTTGATCTTTTTTCAATCTCCACTATTGAGTAAAATGATGTCAATTTTAAATGCAAGATGGCCACCGTGAAAAAAATCAAAAATATGTTGGCTACCCCTCTAATATTCTAAAGTACACCCTAAAGAACGAATGTGCCAAAACCTATGCTTTGCATGATTTTGTCAAATTTCGGTACTACTACCCGCCTACAACAAACAACACAAGCTACATACTGTAGTTGAGGCAGGCTAGCGTTAATGTCGGGCATGGTTGAGATGTCATGCAGAATAGCGAGAGTGCCCCCAAATGTCTCACACGTCCTCCGAGCCTCGTTCCAGGACTGGACCTTCTCATGGTACACATAATACCGAGGGGTCAGTACCGAGGTGGACACTACAACATTGACAAGGGAAAAATACATTTAAAACATGTATCTTGTTGTTGGTAATCGTAGCTTTGCAGCAGGGAAATATCACTCAGCATCTTTAAGATTAGAATGGATAGCTGACTAATCGGGGATATAATTTGTAATGTCATACGCTTATAACCAAATATACAAAGTGTGGGTTGTACCACGCTTCTTACATTAAACCAACATCGAACTATATATGGTTACTGAACTGAAGAGGAAAAGAACAAAAATGTCATGCAATCCAGTTTGATACTTTTATAGTTTCTGATTCAGGAATGTATACGATACATTAACATCTATATTAAGATTTTTGTAACAGACAGGATACCGATGTATCATCATCATCATCATCATCATCATCATCATCATCATCATTTTTCATCATCGGTACATATATAACGACTAATTGTACATACGCTTACAGCGTAGCCGAATCGACTTGATTTGGTGGACAACTCGTACACATTGTACACCTATGTGTGCATACGCTTCACCGGTCATTTGTCTGATGAAGGTGACAGTGTACATATCGCACTAGTCATCGAAATGTCACATAGACAATCTTATTGGTTGTGTAAAAGAACTTCTCATAACCCATACTTAACAGCACGCAGAAAATGTTTAGAATTATCTGTTCTAGTCTCAAATTGTGAATTTGAAATGTTAAAATTGCATTTAAAGTACATTTTTTCCTTCGCTGTATTTCTGTACATGCTTCGGAAAACTTTACATTTCATTCTTTTGACTATTAATACCAAGAAATGGCCTTGAGGTGCAATTAAACGTTTATTGAATTGCATTTCTGCATTGAGAAGCTAAATTTCAAATATGTGTCCCCTCTCTTCGTATAGCTAGTGATTGTTTTTGTCTGAATACAGGTTTCTCCGGCTGTTTGTTGGTCCCCGAGGTCAGCCGTAACCTTGTACCTGGAATTTATCTGGCACGTTTTAAATGAAATACTAGATGTGTTGTGCAGGAAGTTGTTAATTTGGCACGTCCCCCTTTCGGTGTATTCCTACATATATTTAGAACCTTTTGAATTTTAATTCTTTTCACTTTTAATACCAATGATGAAACGGCCCTATGGTGAGGTAACAATATTGAAATGTTTGGCCTTTTGCATCAAAAATCGAAGTTTTTAATTGGCGCTGCCTTACTGCGTGCGTAGCTCTAACGTGTTGTGTATAAGAGACCGTAAAACTAATAGTCTAATTATAACAAAATTGCATTTATTTTTAATTACATTTTAAATATATAACAACAAGTAATTATTTGATAGCGTAGTTTATGTAAACACGCATTCTAAATGTATGATTATTAACAAAACCTAAAGAAACGATATATCCGATCAATACAAATAAATAAGCAATAATAAATTGAAATTCAATACATTTAGATAATTCATTTCTCATTGAGTACGAAATGCAAACAGTCAATAGCATTTAAATTGATATCAAAATGGTTCTCTAGCATCGTTTACAAATGGTTGGAAAATAATTAATTGCTCAACATAAAAAAGAAAAAAACTATTTTTTCCGAATTATCATTTCCTTGTACTAAAGAACTAAGTTTGAATCAAAACAAAAAACAAAAAATCCCACCTACAAATGGAAATGAACGTTAAAAAAGGAGATAAGAATACAGCAACTATGGTTAAGCGTTTCGTGACCATATCCTGATTTTACACGACACATTTTCGTTAAGATGACTGTGCGTTAACTTACTCTGTACTAGATTAAAATCAATCGACTTGTTCGACACGAAAACGCCATCAGGAGTTCCTGTATTAGTTGTGTAAAGATAAAAAAGAGAGTTATTTTGGTGAAATCAGTCGAAGAAAAATGTATAACTTACCTAAGCCTGCTATGAGGACAGTAAACCCAGCTACGTGGATCGCCCCCATACCTGTATACCTAGTTCCGTCAGGCTACGGTATCCTCAGCGATCCGACACACACTGCTGGAATGCAAACAGCGACCGGTCGATAAAAGATTTAACGTCCTGCGGAAATATCAAGTTATATTAATTTTTTGATAATTGTAGCTTTCATGCTGGCAATATCATCACAGTTAGGAATAATTCAGATACACTTTTACGCACAATCGATGCCTTCGTTGATCAGCACCCCAACTAACCCCCCCGACCTGTTACTCGATGAGACACTGGCTATGTTTCCATTATACAAATACTCTGTGCATTGGTACAACAGGGCGCAAAGTCTTCAGGATCAATGATGTCCTCATTTCATGAGAATTCTGTTTTGTCTTTGCAATTGAATTTAACTATTCGCATATCATTTGCCCCGAAGTCTACGAAATTGAATATAATATTGAAAATAAGAATGCATACTGGTCGAATTTGATAACCTATTTCATATTTTATACGATAGCAAACAAAATTGTATTGGCTTTCAAGAAAATACGCATGCATAAATGTTTACGTTTATTAAGATATAACGGAATACCAAATGTGGAAATCACTCTACATAATAATTGATCACAATAGATTTAAGTTCGACCTGCTGCACTCTTAATCTGGCAAAAGGCAGAATGGATTAATGGCGCGCCTCTACAAATTAGCTCAACTCAGTGTGCAGTCACCGTAACATATACTAAACATATGAAGTAAAGAAACCAGGGGATGCATCTATTTGATATCCATCAACGATTCTTTCCGTGTGTCACCACACTTACTAGTTTCAGAAATCATTATCACCCATTACATATGCATGAACGGAGTGACAGAAATCAATTGGAGATGAGAAACTGGTATTGGTCTTGTGTGCTTGTAATTCAAGAGTTTTCCGATACCTTGTCATGCTATTGACAGGTGATATGTTTACCCAAGTCTGACAATAGTGTGAACGGAGTGTGCGCTCTCTGAAAGACGGGTGACAAAACATCGCATATATGATCTGAAGACAGAAGTATTGGATATATCATATATATATGAGTTCTGGAGGCGGGGCGGTATTGGGCATCAGTATAGCATTAACGTAGTCTCTCAGACAGATATATTGTATAACAACCAAACATATATTGCCATATTGAATTTATACACTTCAGGCAAAGAGTATTAAATGACAACAATATTCCACGTTGTATGGAGGACATGGTAACAGAGTTATTGTCAAAAATAGCATACACCTGTTAACCGGATGAATGAGG